ATCCGCGTGGTTGGGTCTCGAGCATTGATGGATAATTTGTTTCATTTATTTGGAGCTGAGGAATTACAATTAGGTTGACGAATATGGATCCAATGATGCATTCAAGTAACTTAATTCATTGTATCATGCATGGTTAATTGTTCTCTTATATGCATGATTATAGTGTGATGAGTTTGAGCATGATGAATTAGGGCTTTTGCTATTTCGAGTATGCCTGTTTAATTACATACTGTGAGGGCATGATTAAACTCGAAATCCCTATGGATGCCAACTTGTAATTATGTGGGATGTCTGAAATCATTTTTTGCTGCATAAATAAGTTAATGTAGCATTTAGTCTATGTATACTCTTTATTTTTCATTAAAGAGTCTATGGTTATGATTAAATTAGTCTTGGTGGAGGATAAAACTTGTTCATATATAGCACCTATCGTTCTCTTTTGTTTGTTTGTTTTGGGACATATACGATGAATATCAATTTGGAATGGAATCAATCTGACTACACGAGAACTCCATGAATTGATATTGTCTGGGCAAGTATGCTTAATGACCGAGCGGTTCTAATATTAAACTAATGGAATTTGGATGCCATTGTTTGTATTTATGGTACATATAATTAAATGCATTGGTCTGTTTTGAATTAGTAGAAGAAAAAAAGTGTAATTCATATCCCCAGTTTTGGTTAGAGTACATATAATATGTTTTGGGGGTGTTGCCATATATATGAATGGTGGAGTTTGGAATTTGGATTCGATAAATGTCAATCTTTGCAGTGTATAACCGAAAACATGTCAGGGCTCTTGTATTTATACCTTGTATGGAATGATATAAATTGTTTTGGTGAAGCCTTGTTGGCAAGAATACATTCTATTTCGCTATGATAGTGGAACTCATCGATTGGCAAGATTTGGTCTGGAATTTTCGTTTCTCGTTTGCTTCCGCTGCTCTTAATGAAAATTTGCTGATTAATTGGTATGTATCCTTTAATTCATATCTAATGTGATCTCAAAGTTCATAAGATATTAATTTTGAAATTTTGACAACTTATGGGTTTTCCATTGATTGGAATTGTTTGAGATTTTGAAGCGTCAATTAGTATTTTTGCAATTGATTTTTGGACTAGATTGAATTATGATACATGTCGATCTTGTTAAAGAATTATTATATGTAAATCATATTGTTGAAAAGTTGAGATCTTGATTATCTCGTTTTAATCATGATAACTTGTGCTTCTATGTCCAAACATTATCAATTTTTAGTTGATCTTGCTCGATGGATATTGAACAGTTAGGATCAAATTGAATGCAAAAATATTGTGCTTGCTATTCTGATTTTGATCATTGTTGAAACTAGTGATTTTGGGTTTATGTGGGATAAGTTTTTCCGAATGGATTGTGACTATCTTTTGATACATAGACTGTTTGCATAATGGTTTAGGTGTATATGACTAAACTGAGATTATGCAATTGGTGAGGAATCGGGAACCAATTGGTTCATATCTTCGGTTTCTTTATAGGCTGTGCAGTACATTCTGCTTATGCTTAAGTGGGAGAATCATATGTTCGAATGTAAGCTTGGCTAAGAGTATTTAAGCCAGCCATTATAATTCATCAAGATGCTTAAAAACCAGTTTATGGTTTTATTGAAGCAATTGGTTGAATTATTTGTGTTACTTAATTTGTTTAAGTAATGAGAAGAATCCTATTATGTTAGCCTTCAAAAGGAAACGAATTTGGTTTCCATATGGATTCTAATTAGTCATTCATTGTATTGGAATGATTTTTAGTTAATATAGTTGCTATTAACTTGTACTTAACTTGGTTGTGTTAAGTATGGCCTAGATAAGTGGGAGTGTACTGTTTAAAGGCTTGAAGATAGTTGCTTTTGTTCAGTTAGAACATGACAACGATGAGCTTGAAGATTCCCAGAACTAAGGTAGTCTAGTTAGCTTAGTTATACTTATCTAGTTGTTAGTGTTTGTTTTGGTTTTCATTAAGGGTTCATTTTTCAAACTTTGTGATCAATTGTACCAGAGAACATATTTTATTTGATAGTTTGGTTTGCTAGAAAGTCATTTTGTGATTTTGTTGCAGAATACTTTTTTTTTTTTTAACTATTGAATATGTTGTTTTGATATAAGATGGTTGTGGTTAATAAGTTTTGATCATTAACTGATGTCTTGACAATTATTGTGTTGAGGTTATATTGGAAAAGTGGGAGTAATGATTTTGACATTACTGAATATATACGTTCACATGAACACAGAGAGCAATTTAGGCATGCTGTGATTCTTAAGTTAATTTTGTGATGGACAAAAGAGACTTATGAGTTCCATGCTTTGAAGTGCTTGAGTAACGTTGAATGTGAAGATAAGTTTTCTGTTGGTATGAACTTAGTGATCACTTCCATGATTTATAAGGCTATTAATCATATGTCATACTCAAGTGGGAGAATGTAAAAGTATGAGTATGAATTGAAAGAGCCGAGTAGTATAAATCTTTTGAATGGAATAGTCCTGTTGATAAGCTTAGTGAAATCCTTTTTCTTGTAGGATTATAAGTACAGGTCCTTGTTGTTGAGGGACTTATCTCTGTACTTTATCTTTTAAGGGTCACTTGTAATATGGATTACTTGTTCGAGTTATATAAGAATTCTAATAGGGGAATGATTAGAACGACCATATTTATATATGATCATAATCACTGCTCTTGCAATGTCTGCTTCTTTTGTACCAAATAACTATTGTTTGGAAAGCACTTGTGTTTGCTAAAGAGGAGAAGGTTATTAGATCAACAAGCTGCGATGGCTTCGTCTTCCATATCGAGTTCTGCAGGTTCGTGTTTCTGCAAATACATCAGTTTTCCATAAACACGTTTAATGGTGAATAATTAGTTTGTTCTTGATTTATGGTGATTCAATTGGCAAACTTGTGATTAGTAATTTAGGTATATATATATTTCTGTTAATCTTACATGAGCATGTATAATATATATTGACGCGTGTGTGGATGTGGGGGTGAGAGAGAGAGAGGGAGTGTGTGTTTGTGTATGCAAAAACCAAAATAAAGCTGTATAATCTCAGCAGTCATACCCTCATTTATTTGGAAGTTGCCATTGTTGTTGTTCCTCATGGCCATTGTACTGTTGTTCCATTCATGCATGCCCATTAGTGTTGCTTCGGTCAGTGTTGACCTTACTAGCATTTTCATCCTGTTCTTTTTCCCTGTTCCACTGCTCAATCTTTGCCCGTCTCTCCTCACTTCCTTCTCTAATCGGACTCTGGTTTCTTCTTCTTCCAGGGCTTTTACTTCTACTGCGTCATTTCCTTCGACCAAGGCTTACATTCTTGTTCCTCTTCTCCAGCTTTCAGGATAGCGATCCTCATCATTATACCTTCTGCTATGACCGCGGCTACCAAGAGAGCGCTCTTCATAGCTACGATGCCGGTAAGGGCTGCGACTCCTGCTTCGACTGTGGCTATGCCTTCTCTTATAGCTCCCAAATAATTCACGCTTCAATTCCCTGACATTTTAACAAAGTAAAAAAAAAATATTAGCTTATCAGTACATTCTGCAATTAAAAAAAATAACAAGAAAAATTACCTGCCATTCCTTTTCAGGTGCATAAAATTGCAGTATCATGTATTCTTTCTGTGCAATTGTGGAAGATGTAGAGTAGGGTTGTAACAGATGGGCTGGCCCTGGGCGTCGACGCCGGGGGTGATCATATCGGGTCACTGGTACATGTTGGAGAGCAAGATCGTGGGGCTGACGCTGGGTTTGGTGTGAAGTCTGGAGCAGCGGTCGCTGTGCCTACACGCCCCAATTTTGAAGTAGAAAGGGCAGTTCACTCGGTCCTTCTCCGTCCCGAATATCGAAGCCAAATGCTTCGCCATGAGTGTAGTCGGTTCTGCGGTGTTTGCGAATCAATGGGGAATGGAGGAAACTTGAGACGGTGGCCGAAAGCGGAGGGTGCGCGTGCGTCTATAAATATTGAGGGAAGGGGAGATAAACCGACGTCGTTTTAAATTCTGGTTCTCGTTCTTCCAGAGAGTTCGTTTGGATAGTCGATGTGTTTATGTGAAATTGGGTTCACGCGCCCATCAATTACACCATGCCGTTAATGTATATTTTGTACAATGGAAATTTTATTTTGCCCATTTTCTTACGAGTGAATTAATGGTTGAGATTTAACGAAAAAAAATAGTTAATAGTTAAATCTCAATCCGACACGTGAAAAAAAAATGTACAGGGTGAGAAAAGTTGTTTTTTTTTTTTTTTTTTTTTTTTTTAATATTTGGATCATATTACTTGACTAAGAAAATAGGGTTCGATCTAATTTTGAGTTGAAAAGTTCTAAAATATTTAGGTTGATTCAAATCCGACATCCGAAAAGAGTTGGACAAATTTTTGTAAAAGGGATTTATGATTGAAGATGATATTAACACATTTTGTGCAGAGAACTACGTGTTCTTTTTCAGATGGAACCTTGAAGATGATGACATGCCTTAATTATAACTTTCCAAATAGATGGCGACTGGAACGGAGAGAATCCTACTCCTTTAATTGTCTTTCTAGGTCCAATTATATATGGATGGTGGTTAATGCATGTATCTTGGCCTGTTGTGGTTCTTGTGGAGAGATTTTATAGTATATCCGAAATATGAATTGATACAATATGTGTCATAATGCTTAATATATTCATCGTTGTTAACGCTATTGTGGAAAGGTTTCTCATGTCCTCAAAGTCCAAACGTTGTTGGATTTACATGTAATTTTTAAATATGATGTTTATGTCCAAAGTAGAGCCTATATAGAGTTTACGTAAGTGTTTGTTGCCAATGTGTATTGTGCTGCGCATTGTATTGTTGCATTCAGTAAAAGCAACAGCATGCTCTCATTGTATTCTTGTTAATCAAGTAACAAAATATAGCATTTTTCTCCTTAAAATTCCCCTTCTATTTCTCTCTTCTACAATATTAACAAGGGTAAATAACTCAAAATAGAAACTCTGGAAGTTAGAATTTTTCTTTTAGGATTGAAGAACATACATTATTGAAAAAAGAAAACACACACACATCATTGGCCAAATAGAAAGCCGTATACATTGGCTTCTCTTCACAAGTTTCTTAATATGTGGCGAATTCTTAAGTGAACAACACAACGTGAGATTCATACTCTCAACTCAAATACAAACCCAACTAAAGATAACATAGGAATTCAAAACAACTTTTTCTTGTTCCTATCAAATAATCCTGGTCCAAACGTAGAAATAACTAACTCAACAAGAAATGGAAATTGCATCCATATGAATGAGGTAACTGGAACACTAGCAAGCAAAATGCTTGGGATAACAATCGATGATTTCCCTTTAAGCATAATGTAAAGGGCACAAGAAAAGACAATCATCATGGTGGCGATAGATAAAAAGAGGGTAAAAAGGCCTATTATCATTTTTGTGGGCAAAGATTTGCGGAAATCATCTTCAGAATAACGTGATGTGAGAATCCCCAGAAACATAATAACTGAAGTTGTGGAAGAAAAGAGTGAGATTGCATCTGAAACTATAAATGTTGTGAATACCCTTTCGGTTAAGAATGTAGGAAGACCTGTATGTCCATCATTTCCACCAGGAACTGTGATTGCAGCAGCAAACATGATGGTGACAATGAGAGCACCTACAACTGTACAAGAAGTTGCTGTTTCCTTCATTGACTTTTCTGCCTCTTTACCCATGTCGTTGTGATTATCCGTAAATACTTGTCGTGGTGTCCTATTATCCACGTTTACAGATTCACAATCTTTGGGATCTATAATGCTCTCCACCTCCTGCAGTTTTTGGCGAAACTTTTTAGGGATGTGACTATGACAATGAGGTAATTCTTAATGGAATAGGGTTGTCAACAATGGAACACATAAATGATACAGAGAACGATAGTATAATATATAGGTAGTTCAAAATGGAAAAATAGTCACCTTGAACCATTGTAGTTCTCTTTGCATTTGCAAAGCTGCACCTCGAATGTGATAAATCTGTGACAATGAGGTAATTCTTGCTACTGTATGTAATATTATATTATTTTCAAAGTTATCTCTCGACCCCAATATCATCTGTATTTTTTTTTGTTTGTCTGGATCTTCTTTGAGAAACTCATCAAGGAGATATATAAGATTATAAACTTTGTGGTAACGACATTCAGCGGCAATTTGGAACACGTTTTGGCGCTTGTCGTTTGTAGCCTGTATATCTAAGGCTTCTCCAAGGAAATGAGTAAGAAACTCTGCATGCCCTCTTTCTGCGGCCACACACAATACTTGTTTAAGTTCTGGTAAGAATAAGTTTCTTTTTTTCTTCAGATATGATAGGTAAAAACTGCTTCACTTGCTCATGTATCAGTTTCATCTCATATATACGATTGATTCCTAAGTTCATTCAAGAAAACAAATTTAAAATTATAATAATTTAAAAATAATATTGACAATTAATAAAACAATCATCCCAAAGTTAATTAACGATATGGTTGATTATATGAATGTATATGTGGCCTACCCAAAAGTTTTTGAAGATTCTTCACGAGTCCGATGAATAAACCCATTCCTGTATTACAGGTCAAATTTTGTATGAACAATTAATAAGCATAAGTTATAACATTACACAAAATTACTCCAATTATATCTAGTAACTACAGTCTCTATATAAATCAGAAAAGTAATGAAAAAGGGTTTTCATCAACAACAACAACACACATATAAGCTATAGTCAAACCTTTGCCACTAGATTTCACGCTATTTACAAAAAAGTCGTGAGTTGAGTTGGGTTGAGAGGGTAATTATCAAAAGTTAGGAGGATAGTTTTGTATAATAGTAACTTAATCGTACTTAAATTAAACATGTTGGACTAAATTAAAATTACTGTTGCTTCTGAGTTTCTATGAAGAGTCCTTGAGGTGAGTGAAACCTAAAAGACAACTATGAATATAGTAATCAGGCCTCGCGTTAATTTTTCTCAGAAGGCTAACTTGATTATGTTAATGAGTATTCTGTATTCTTTTGTGGTACATTGATTTTACTGTCATCAACTAAAAAGAAATACATTTCCGTTTATCCACTTGATTGATAGGTGAGTTTTCTATTCAGGCTTGCAGGGTGAAATTAGGAGACCTAGAAGGAGCATTGTTGGACACAGACTTTGCATTGCGTGATTGGGAAGATAATGTGAAGGCTTTGTTTTGCCAAGGCCAGGTAATAATCTTTAATTGGCAGGAATTCATAAAGCCTTCTGGTTGCTGTTTATTACATTTTTTAATTAAAGTAGTTGTGTCTCTTTTTTGCATGGGATAGAAACTGACTCAAATGTGGGTAAGAACCGTGAATCTCTAATCCTCTTCCTCTTTTCAGTTCTCCCAATTGATCTTTTTTTGTGGTTTTTGTTTTCTGGGGTTTTTTGGTTGTCTAGAAAATGCCGTAAATGAAGGAAAGTTTTGAAGCATTTTTGTTTTGTTTTGGGTTGTACTACTAAGTTCTCTATATTTGTAGATGATGTGTTTACTTCGTTTATATGACTATCTTTTATGTCTGGAAATTTTGTGTTATAGTAACTGTGTTTTATATTTATTTATTAATGTCTGCCAATTTGGGAATTTTTATTAAAAGATAGAACCAACTTAGACTAGTAAATTAATCGAAACAGCTTGAGCTTAAATGATATCAAGCTTGAACTTTTTAAGCTCAGTCTAGCTCGGCTCGTATCATAAGCAAGCTAAGTCTAGCTTGAGCTAAAGATGTTAAAAAAACCACGCTTGAGCAGTAGAAAATATGGAATGATTGAAGAATTATGGAACAATTTACCATGGCATTAACAAAAACAAATTGCATTGCAGACATATAAAATACCTGAGCAACTGAAATGCCTTTGATTCTCTTTTTGGTCTGAGAGAGGCTTCTGATTTTCATTTTTGTTTGACAGATGCCTTTGATCACTCTGGCCACTTTCATTGACACGATTATCATTGATGGGAGGAAGGGCTGGTTTGGTATTGCTGTGCTTTGAAAAAAAGCTGCTGTGAGAATAAGCGGATGTGCTGTGAGAATAAGCGGCTGTGAAATAAAGCAGCAGAGCGTTTGGTAAACTTTTTTGTAAAAGTGCTTTTGGAAAAAAAAGCAGTCTGATAGTGGGTCTTTTCATTAAAGGAGCACTGTAGCTCCATGTGCTTTGAAAAAAAGCCAGTTTTCCAAAGCTGCAAATAGCAGCTTCAGCTTTTTCCTTTGATTTCAGCTTATTCTCACAGCAGCTTCCAAAATAAGCCCTTTTTTTTCAGTTTACCAAACACCTAAAACCCTCACAGCTTTTTTTCATAGGTGCTTTTTTTTTAAGCACCTCACTCCCAAACTAGGTCGAAGAGCCTTATGCGTATGCCTACCAAGATAAGAACGCAAGCCCAATCATTAAATCCAGCAAGTATTCTTGTGAAGCAAGATTTTTATGTTAATTGTGTACACACAAAATCAAAGTTTGAACGAGCAAATGGTGTTCGAGCGAGGCAGGTATAGAAGACGAACATATCATATTTTATACAGGAGAGTTGAAAATAAAATAAAATAAATGATTATGTGCATCTGCATATTTATATCAATTTGTGCATCTACATATTTTATGAGATTATGTGCATCTACATATTTATATCAATTTGTAATCTTAGGCGTATACTGGTCGTACCCAGTGCACAAAGCTCCCGCTTTACGCAAGGTCTGGAAGAGGTGAATGTCGGCTAGCCTTACCCCCATTTATGGAGAGGCTGCTCCCAAGTCTCGAACCCGAGACCTACCGCTCATGGGCGAAGGCACTTGCCATCACACCAAGTGCGACCTCTTCTTAGGCGTATACTGGTATGAAAATAAAAAAAATGATGACGTGTAATCCTAGTCATTGGACCAATTTCACATAAATATGAGGAGAAAGTAAAAAGCAATATTTATGTACTAACCGTTATAGATTAATTTTTTCCAGAAATTGAGCCGGCTTCCACTTAAGAATCCATGACGGTTCTTGGCCAATGTTTCTAAGGGGAAATTCCCGTTGTAGTCTTTAGCCATGGCCAATTGTGGGTAACGTTGAATCAAATCCCACGCAATATCTATATATATATATATATATATATATATATGTAAATGTGAAAAATTAACATTGTAAGTATGCACAAAAAACTTGTAACAAAAGAAAATTAGACAAAAACTTGTAACAAAACAAAATCAGACGGGAAAAGATTGACATTGCAAGTATGCCGGGAATAATTGTACCGAATCTATTGAGCTGAAAACCGAGAGAAAGAAGTTGAGCGCCATCGGTAACTCTTAGTGTTTCATGTGGTGTAACGGAGTAAAGACAGCGAGCCATTCCTTTTGCATTTTCCATCGTCTCCGCCAGGACAACCAGAGGAGTCTTGCCCTCATAACGACACAAAATAGTAACTAACTTGTCGTTCTTTTCAAGCATGCATTTAGCTAATTCAACCCTTTCTGGATGATAAAGCATTAAGCGAAAAAGAGCTGTCTGACCAAAACCGTCTTGCCTTTCCAAGTCTTCCTTTGCCATCAACTCCACCAACTGCTCAACAATGCGCACGTTGACGGTCCTGTGCGGAAACGGGCTGATTGCGTGGTGAAGAGCTGTACCACCTTTGCCTTCAATTCCCATATCCGTGTAAACTGGAAGTCTTCCTAGCTGGCGATGTTCGCGAAGCAACTTGATCACATTATCCCAATCTTTATACTTGACATATTTGATGAAAGTTGCATTAATATCGTCGGCATTGCTGATCTCATCGTGTCCTGCATTGAGCCCTTCTTCCATTGCAGCATCACCATCATTTCCATCAATCCGGGTTGGATACGCTTCAACAAGTGACCTCTCATCTGAAAATGGAAATCTTGATGTTCAGATGTTACCTTTCAATTCTTAATTTGTCTTTTCTTTTTCTACATTTCCAATTCATGCATATCTTAATTATGAATAGTACAAAATATTTCTCATCAAATTAGATCATAGATCACCTACAAGGTATATATATGTTTATCAGCTCCTCTTTTTTCCTTCACCCTTTCATGTATATACTACGTACCTTTATCGTATGGTGTATGACTTAGCATCAAAGAATCATACAAAGCATCCCATGCTTCTTTGGCATTGGTTTTGTACTCGATTATGTCGTAAATATCATCCACACAAGAACTTTGGATTGCATATAAGGCCTTAACATTCTTCTTCTTCCAAGCCTCACGTTCAGCTTCAGCATCTTCTTCTTCATCTTCTTCTTCTTCAGGAAGTTGATAGGTGCCTTCGACGATGTCCCAAAGATCTTCGGCCAACAAGTAGGTCTTCATCCGAGAACTCCATTTCCGATAGTTCTCACGGTTAAGAACTGTAGGAACAACTGCAGCTGCCATGTTCAATCTACCTATTTATTTAATGAGATTTTATGTCAATCGAGCATAAAAAAAGGTCGTACCCAGTGCACAAGGCTCCCGCTTTACGCAGGGTCTGGGAGAGGTGAATGTCGGCTAGCCTTACCCCCATTTATGAGGAGGCTGCTCCCAAGTCTCGAACCCGAGACCTACCGCTCATGGGCGAAGGCATATGTGGAAAAAAAAAAATTAAGAATAACAAAATGAAACAAAGTCTGTCTGTCTAACAATACCTGAGGAGGCCTATTCTCCTGCATGTATCGTATGCACATTGATTAATCAGAATGTCAGATGACATCCTTAATTGCAATTGAAAGATCACACTTATCATTCAGTTTCAATGTAATAATGTCATGTGAGCACTTTTCTAAGTGAAAAATAAAGCCCACTAATAAATAAAATAAGCTAATAAATTTCATCTCACCTTATTCTAATAAACAAATAAATAAAATAAAGCAATTTATTCTATGTGTGTTTATATTTCGATTTTTTGACTTCCAATTCAACTTACCGTTTTGCTTGATCTTCAGCAAAAGGGTTAACCAAATGGGAGGCAACAAGATCCAAGAAGGAAAACAAACCGAAGTACTGATCTGGCAAGGAAGAAGCAACAATCCAAAGTATAAACAAATTTGAAAAATATGAGTCTCCAAAATGGTTACAGGATTTGGAAGATGAAAAGAAAATGAAATCAAATGAGAGAAGTGCAGAGAAATTTATAGAAATCAGGAAGAATCATATTCTGGCATGAGATGTGAAATTTGAACAACTACCACGAGAAGTAAAGAATCGCATTATAAAGAAAGTTGAGGTAACACTATAAAACCGACTAGCAATATGAGGAGTACCCCAACTTATCTATAAGTTCATGCATGACCTATTCTTCTATCAACGTTAGATTTATTCTCAAAGCATTTTCACAAAAGAAAAAGTCAAAGTATAATCTCACCTTTGTCTTTTTTTTTTCTTTTTGTCTCATCTTTTATCATATTTCACATGAAATTGATGATAAATGTGATATATGTACATCTTTCTGGAACATATTTGATAGATTCATTGCTTCTCCCACCATGCATACAACTGGTTTGATTTTCTTCTTTTGAGTAGGAGCATCTTCAAAAGGTCTGGGCAATTGGACATGAAAAACAATGTTATGGGAATTATGGGGGCACAAAAAGGGAAAAGAGGTTTGGCGGAGACGAAGTAAGGAGGGAGAGAGGAGAGAGAACAAACTCAAATGTGGGTAAATTACAAACTCATACCAGTTAGAATTGAAATAAAATATTATTTATACAAAAATAAAAACATTTTTCATTATTTATATAATTTTAATTTATATATTAATATTTAATTAGATTTTTAGGATCTAATTATGTGTCATATCAGCACATAACATAATTTTTAACAAAATTATGACGGAATGATGATTTTGATTTGCAACACCCATTTTCAGGGATTACATTGATCGATTTTGAATTTCAAGAACCATTTTAATGGATTGGTCAATTTCAGGTATCATTTGTGATAAAACCCCAAAATTATAATTAAGCTCTATTTTATAGAGCAGCATGTCCAATTGCCTAGACCCTTCGAAGATGCTCCTACTCAAGAGAAGAATATGCATGATGGGAGAAGCAAAGAATCTATCAAATGCGTCCGAGAAGGCTGCACATATATCACATTTATCACCGATTTCATGTAAAATATGATAAAGATGAGAACAATAATAAAAGTAAGATTACAAATCAATTAAATGTGAGATTATACTTTGGTTTTTTCTTTTGCGAGAATATATTGAGATAAATCTCACATTGATGGAAGAATAGAGCTTGCATTAACTTGATGTTGTGAGACTTGATAAACAACTTTGTACCGTTGATGTTGTTACTATGAAAATTGACAAATGAAGAATTGCAATTGAAAATAAAGCGTAGTCTAATACCGAACCTAAAAACGATGAGAGTGGTTGCAACCTATCAGCATCCTTGCATAACATTTTGATACTGGTACATTAAATTGCAAGAACCCCTGTCAAAATCTTAAAATTTGAAATCTAATAGTCAAAATTTAAAATCTTAAAAAAAACCCAAGTTGGTTTTTACCTTTCATCTTGTTATGGGTCCAGCTACAATTGAGCGGTACGAGTTTTATACAATATCTAATTATTGCAAAGATTTATTAGATTCTTATATAATTGATTTAACCGTTGATTTTTTAACCACTCAGTGGTATGTACCAAAAAGAAAAATTGCTGATACACGTGAGGGTCCAAAGGTCCAAAACAGCATAAACGGAACCAGATAATACTGGGCCTACTAGGCCTAATACTTTTACTAATTTTCATGGGTACTGCCAAGGTTCGTTTAGGTTGGATCTTCCAGCTGTGGTATATGATATGGGGCATGGGAATTGGATCCTTTCTTAAGCACAAGCTCAGGATCCTCATAATCAGCCGATGTGAACTGTTAGATTTTGATCAAACGACTACAATTATTATAACTTTGAAAAGTACCTCCTATTTGTAACCGTTGGATTGGGCTGGTCAGCAGGATCCTGAGCTTGTGCTCAGGAGAGGATCCAATTCCTGGGACATGAACAACGAGGTTGATTTGGGAAAAAATTGAATGATGTAAAGGGTTGACTGCATTTTACACCATAAAGTTTAATTATCATTTACAAAAATAAGTCACGATATTTCAATTATTGTATTTTAAACAACATGGTTTTTGAATTGCAGCAAGATCCAAGAAGTAAAACAAACCGAAGTACCGATATGGCAAGCAAGAACCAGCAATCCAAAATATAAACAAATTTGAAAATTATGTGTCCCCAAAATGGTTACAGGATTTGGAAGATGAAAAGAAAATGAAATCAAATGAGAGAAGTGGAGAGAAGTTTATAGAAATTGAAAAAAAATCTTATTTTGACGTGAGATGTGAAATTTGAACAACCACCAAGACAAGTAAAGAATCTCATTATAAATAAAGTTAAAAGTTACACCACAAAACCAATTGGCAATATAAAGAGTACCCTAACTTACTTATAATCCATGCAAGATCTATTCTTCCATGATTATGAGATTTATTCTCATAGCATTCTCACAAAAGAAAAAGCCAAAGTGTAATCTCACCTTTGAGTTGTTGCCTTTTTTTTTTTTTTTTTTTTTTTTTGGTCTCATTTTTATCACATTCCACGTGAAATTGATGGTAAAATATATGTACAGCCTTCTTGGACACATTTGATAGATTCTTTGCTTCTCCCACCATGTATACAGCTGGTTTGATTTTCTTCTTTTGAGTAGGAGCATCTTCAAAAGGTCTGGGCAATTGAACATGTTGCTCTCTAAAATAGAGCTTAATTATGCGTTTTAAATACCATTATCCTTACCATGAAGGTACATACGTAACCAAGAAATTAATCATGCATTTAGTCCTCTAACCTCACACGTACTTATGATTAACTACAAGGAAACAAAACACAATCAGGAAAAAAACAGCTTGAATGAAGCTGGTGCTAAAGTTTATAAATCCGATGAGTGGGGTGGGGAAGGTTCATTGGAACAACCATGTAGGTTTACAAAAACCTAATAGTGTGGTAACAAAACGACAATGAAGCTGATGCTTATGTTTTATAATTCTGGTAAGATTAAGTAGATTCATTGCACAAAAAGGTTGACTAACTATTTTCTTCTTCTTCTTCTTCTTGCATTTGTGGAATTTTGGAAACAATTAATGGTTCATACAGGCTAATAATGATGCAAATAAGTCAGAAACGCTTAACATTCAAGTGATGTTATTCAAACAGCACGTTGGACCCAGTCTAATTTATATATCAATATTTAATTAGATTTGTAAGACCCAATTATGTGCCATGTTAGTACATAAGAGCAATTCCACCGGGGATGGGATAGGCCGGCACCCAGCCAAAAAAATGGCCCGGCACCTAGGGAAATCTCTCCAGCCCAACAGATTGCCTGGCACCCAGCCCAAGCTGGTCTCTAGGCCAGTCCAAAATTGACAGACCTTGGGACCGGCCTGTATGACGCTTGCTGACGTCAGGGAGGGAAGGAGCACGGAGGGAGAAGGCAAATGGCCTGAAGGTGATGGCCTGAGTTCGTCGGAAAATCTGAAAAAATGCACCAACAACATGTTTGCATCAACACAAAGGTTTCCAACACGATTTATATGTTAGAAACCATAAGAATAGGATTGAGAACTTACCCAGGTGAAATGCAAGAGATTTCACCGAGATTGGACCTTAAACTCGTCGGAGTTGTCCGTTTTCCTTTGTCGGAATCACAGGCAGGGAATTAAGCCCTCAAATTAACCACAAAACTTGCAACACACAACAGGATTTAAAAAACTCAATAACACAATACAGTGATAGAAACATCACCTGGGTTAGAGATTGAGAGCTCAAGCTCTCGGCTTCAATGGTAGGATCTCGCACCATACACCGATGACGCATGCAAGGCCATGGTTGGGTTCCTTGAGCTCTAGGGATTACAAAAATAATATTTTGTGTTTGATTTGTTGAAGGTTTTGAAGAGGAAGGAGAATGATTTGTTGAAGGTTTTGAAGAGGAAGGAGAAGGAAAGCTCACGGGAGTGAGCTGGAAAAGAGAGAGAGAGAGAGAGAGAGAGAAATAAAGGGAAGATGACAGGACAGAGAAAAGGAGAAAAAATAAATTAAATGATAAAATATTAATTGATATAAATAAAATAATATAATATTAGATGGACTGGGTGCCAGCCTATTTTTAGGGGTGGAGCTGCTTTAGCCTATTACTGTTCAGTGGGGTCTATTACTGTTCACTTGAGTGGATAAATACGCTGGATGCTAGCGCAAAGTCCTTAGGGGTGGACTTGCTCTAATAGATTTTTTAACAAAATTATGAGGGAATGACCATATTAATTTGCGACACCCATTTTCAGAGATTATATTGATCGATTTTCAATTTCAGGGACCATTTGCTATAAAAACCCAAAATTATAATTAAGCTCTTTTTTATTGTTAAACAAACAATATTATCTACATTGAGGGGAGAGGTGGGCTTAGCTAGGCCTGGCATTTTGGACCCAACCCGTTAATATTTGTATTTGGGTGGATGCTTAACGGGTCGGGTCGCTAACGGGTGAACCTGTTAAATAACGGGTCATTTTGGGTCAACCCGTTAGACCCGTTAGCACCCGTTAGTTGAGGATATTTTAGTAATTTTAGTAAAGTCTTAATAACAAAAAATAAACTTTATGCAAAAAAAAAAAATAATAATAATTGTTAACGGGTGATAACGGGTGAAACGGGTGACCCGTTAGCTTAACGAGTTGGATTCGGTTGACCCGTTAACTTAACGGGTCGGGTTGAACCCGACCCAAACCCAATAAACCCGACCCGTTTATAGGTCTAGGCTTAGCCTCACAATGAGCTATCAATAATATGGTTCAAATTCTCCTTTGGTGAAATCAAACTAAGACCTCTCACTTACAAGTCAAGA